GAGGGTTTTAGGATGAGAAATTGCATCCTGGCGTTCTCAAGGCGGCTTTTAAAATTTTCAGTATTCTGTGAAATCTTTTGACTGCCATCTATTCCTAAAGGGAACTACTGTAAATTTTGCAGTTATCTTTCTGTTCACTAAAGTAGTAGCATCCTGCCTTGTTTCTTGTAAAAATCAGTGATCAGTAGTTTTAGAATTTAAAAAAGTTTTTTATACGGAAATTTCTAGTTGTTCTGGAGAAATACACAAACATAAATATATTCTAATTAACAGACTTAAGTTACCAAAACGATATCCCAAAAGTGTTTTTCGAATGTTAGTTTCTGTACATTCATTTTTAAAGAGGCGTTTAAGATAAGAAATATACTTTAATTTTTATACCAGGTACTTCTATTCAAATGACCATACAACTCTCAACTTAATTCTAATACACTGAATATTCATACAGGATTCATATCACTGAACTAAGAAGAAATTAGGTGAGATCCTTAACCTTTAGATAATATTTGGAAAACCCAAATATTAATAGCTAGGACCTAACACCAAATAAAGAATTGTATGGTAACAGGATTGCCAGATAAAATAAAGGATGCCATTTAAATTTTGAATTTCAAATAAGTAGCATAATTTTTTAGTATATATATTTTTCATGCAGTATTTGGGATAAACACTTACTTGGTGTTTCTCTGAAATTCAAATTGAACTGGACAGCCTGTATTTTCAGTTGCTAAGTCGGACCACCCTCAGTAGTTAGGAGGTTTACCCGGTGTGGTGAGGGGGGCGGGGGGAACTGGGTGTGAGCTGTGTTCTGCAACCAGGTGGAAACGCTTCATTCAGGGTTGGGCATCCTTGATATTTCGGAGAAGCCCACCAAGGAATGCTGTTTCTGCGAAGGGGAAATCGGAGAGAGCAACAGAGGGCGGGGGCGGGGAGATCAAGCTCTGGGGTGCCTCTGAGGCTGGTGGCCACGTAGGTGTGGCCTGTCTCTGGTGTGGTGGGGCCTTGCATCCAGGGATCCAGTGGTGGTACATCCGGCATGTTTGTCCACAGTGGGCTCATTTAACAGGAACCAGAATTTCTGGATTTGTAAAGTATATATGCTGTATTTTCAGGCTGTCGTTTCTTTTCCATTTGAAATCAGTTAAGCCTGACAAAGTAAAGTAACACTTGTAATGAAGAAAGCAGTTCAGAAAAGCAGATGCATCTGAAAGAGAAGGTGCCCCACACAGCAGTCTCTTTTGCTGCCCTTTTTGGGGTGACACCTATTTGTCACCTGCAGAGTCTGGAGAAGTGAGTGTTTCTGTTACTGCTTTTCAGAAAGCATATGGTCTGGATCTGATGGTGAGCGTGGCTCTTGCCCTCCCTCAGCCTCCCCACTCTCCCTGCTGTTACCCGGCCTCCCCGGCCCCTTCCTCCAGCTAGCNACAGCTAAATATTTTCAGCATTGTAGTTTTTATTTAAAATGTTTTGGGTTGTTATTAACCTGAGCCATATTTGTTCTCTGCTTTATAAGCACCTGTGAAAACTACCTTCAAACCATTTTTTTCCAATTTTTAAAACTTGAGACAGAAGATATCAACAGTGAAATTCTTCAGGTGCATAAACCTCAAGCGCAATGAATTATTCCATGTGTATGCGCCCATATGTAAGCCCCCATACGTGTACACTCATGTAACCCCCAGATGGGGCACCTGCGTACCCTTCCCCAGGCAGTGCCCTCTTTACCAATACAGCAGAAGTAGCTGATGATAGGTAGGTGGTCCCCATCAGTTCGTTTTGCAGGGCACACATTTTTGAAAAGCAAATCCTACCTCCATGGTGTTATTACTTAACCATACTTCATTGCTTCTCTGCCGAGGTACCTTGGGAGTTGGTTATTCATCAAGCACACATGATTTTTAAGATGCTTTATGGTTTTCCTTATTCAGTCCAGGAGTTAGCAAGCAAGGAAAGGTCAGCTCCTTATATGTTACAGACAAAGGCTGGGTGCTGGGCAGTTGTATAAATACTTTCTGCATCTCAGTTGAGTGATGACTTTTAAATCCTCCTCTGTATTTCTTTGCTTTTGCTGACCCGGCTTCCGTGCAGGCCTGGTGTGAAACAAACCTGCGAAGGTGCATCAGCGAGCAGCACCGTTTCATCTGTGACATCTGCGACAAGGCGTTCCCCATGCTTTCCTCGCTCGCCCTGCACAAGCCGACCCACGTCGCTGCGGACCAGGGACGGGAGAGGCTGCAGGCCAAGACCCTGCCTGGCGACGCCCTGGACCAGAAGGTCTTCCTGGCATTGATGGGCCTGCAGCACACCAAAGACGTCAGGCCTGTTCTGGCGGAGGAGCCCCTTCCGGATGACAACCAAGCAATACAGCTCCAGACACTCAAGTGTCAGCTACCTCAGGACCCCGGCTGCACCAACATGCTGAGGCTATCTCCTTTTGAAGCTGCTTCCCTGGGCGGTTCTCTCACGGTGCTCCCGGCTACCAAGGAGAGCATGAAGCACCTGTCCCTGCAGCCCTTCCAGAAGGGCTTCATCATCCAGCCCGATAGTAGTATTGTGGTCAAGCCTATCTCTGGCGAGTCTGCCATCGAGCTGGCGGACATCCAGCAGATCCTGAAGATGGCAGCCTCAGCGCCCCCTCAAATCAGTCTTCCGCCTCTTTCTAAGGCCCCTGCAGCCCCTTTACAGGCGATTTTCAAACACATGCCCCCTCTGAAGCCAAAGCCCCTGGTCACACCACGGACGGTGGTGGCCACGTCCACGCCCCCCCCACTCATCAATGCCCAGCAGGCCTCCCCAGGCTGCATTAGTCCCAGCCTGCCCCCACCGCCCCTGAAGCTCCTCAAAGGCTCAGTGGAAGTGGCCTCCAGCACCCACCTGCTGCAGTCCAAGTCTGGGACCCAGCCAAACACGGCCATGCAGCTCTTCCTGCAGCAGCCGCGGGTGGATCTGCCAGGCCAGGCTGAGATGAAGACGCAGCTGGAGCAGGACAGCATCATCGAGGCCCTGCTGCCCCTGAGCATGGAGGCCAAGATCAAGCAGGAGATAACGGAGGGGGACCTCAAAGCCATCATGACGGGCCCCAGCAGCAAGAAATCGCCGGCCATGCGCAAGGTGCTCTACCCCTGCCGCTTTTGCAACCAGGTGTTTGCCTTCTCGGGGGTCCTGCGCGCGCACGTTCGCTCCCACCTGGGCATCTCGCCATACCAGTGCAACATCTGCGACTACATCGCTGCGGACAAGGCCGCGCTCATCCGCCACCTGCGCACACACAGCGGTGAGCGGCCCTACATCTGCAAGATCTGTCACTACCCCTTCACGGTCAAGGCCAACTGCGAGCGGCACCTGCGCAAGAAGCACCTTAAAGCCACCCGCAAGGACATTGAGAAGAACATCGAGTACGTGACCAGCAGCGCTGCTGAGATGGTGGACGCCTTCTGCTCCCCAGACACGGTGTGCCGGCTTTGCGGCGAGGACCTGAAGCACTACCGTGCCCTGCGCATCCACATGCGCACGCATTGCGGCCGCGGCCTGGGCGGCTGTCCCAAGGGCCGCAAGCCCTTTGAGTGCAAGGAGTGCAGTGCCACCTTCTCGGCCAAGCGCAACTGCATCCATCACATCCTTAAGCAACACCTGCACGTGCCGGAGCACGACATCGAAAGCTACATCCTGGCAGCCGATGGCCTGGGCCCCAAGGAGGCCCCGGTGGCTGAGGCCTCCGGGAGGATGGAGGAGGGGGGCGGGGCCTTTGGCGAGCGCAAACCCCTTGCCACCTACCTGGAGTCCCAGAATGGCTATCTTCATGGGGGCCCCACCCAGCCGCCACCTCCTCATGTCTCGGTCAAGTTGGAACCCACTAGCAACTTCGCAGTGGACTTAAGTGAGCCCTTGGACTTCTCTCAGAAGGGCCTGGCCCTGGTCCAAGTGAAGCAGGAAAATGCGGCCTTGTTCCTAAGACCCTCTTCCTCGGCGCCCTATGACTACTCCATGGAGCCCATTGACCTGTCCATCCCCAAGAACTTCAGGAGAGGAGACAAGGATTTGGCTGCTCCCAGCGAAGCCAAGAAGCCTGAGCAGGAACCAGAGAGCAGGGAGGCACCCTCTCCTTGTCCACCACCGTGCCCTACCCTGCCAGTGACCTTGGGGCCCAGCGGGATCCTGGAAAAACCCGTGGCCCCTGCAGCAGCAGCCTTGACAGCCACCACTCTGGAAGCTCACGCTCAGCCGCTGCAGGGCTCTGTTCAGCTTGCTGTCCCCATTTACTCGTCAGCCCTCGTCAACAGCTCTTCCCTCTTGGGCAACTCCACCCTCATAAGCAGTCCAGCCTTGTTGCGGCCGCTGCGCCCCAAGCCCCCCCTGCTCTTGCCAAAGCCCCCCGTGACAGAAGAGCTACCCCCACTGGCCTCCATTGCCCAGATCATCTCATCCGTGTCCTCAGCCCCCACCTTGCTGAAAACTAAGGTGGCTGAACCAGGGCCCACAAGCACCAGCAGTAACACCACAGCTTCAGACAGCCTAGGAGGCACCATCCCCAAAGCTGACACCACCAGCCCAAAAGAACCCAGCAACCCACCCCCTGCCGCCAACAGTCCAGAGGTGGCCT